ATTCTTCACTCATCGCTAAATCCCCGCATTCGATCTGATATCGAGCCACATGCTCGATAGTCGATTCACCAACTTCTCCAGCAAATTTAGTGAATTTGGGTACTTTATATCCTCGAGGCAATTTTGTCTCGAGAATCGCATTCGGAAAGGGAGACACAAAATATGTCTGATTGGGTGGTCTAAATTCCATCCCTTGTAAATTCATCCTTTGTCCCAACATATTATTCTGATTGTGTATATTTTGAAATCCTTCGTTCAAATTCCCATAAATATCATTCCTCACATGTTGATACTCATTTCCCATACGCTGCTGTTGATCATTGTTTCTATTTCTTCTCAATAGATATGGGGGATTAATATTAGTATTCTGATTAGCATGATTTTCTATCCTCGTTTGTCGAGGCACAGCCAATGCATCCCCGATTCGTGACATTTGGTCTGCTAATATCTCAAAGCTAGCAGTAGTGTTTTGCACTAATGGATTTAAGACTGTAGTCAATTGTTGTAATAACATATTCACCATTTCAAAATTACTCTCATCCATTTGTTGTCTGAGTACCCCTAATGAATTACTAGATATTCCGGTACCCATGTTTTTGATAGAATCAAAATTAGATCGATGATAGTCTCTATCGAATACATATCTCCCATGATCTAAGTATCCCCTCTGATCTAGATTTGGAGGTATTTGTCGTGTGCCTACATTCTGTCCATTCCCTGAATCCTGTGGAATTACTAAGTTTTGCGACGTCCCTAAATTCGGAGGGATCCCAAAATTTTGTGGCATACCTAGTGTTTGGGACATTCCTAAGTTATATCTCGAATTCCTATGCGTTGAAGAAGTTCCAGTCCCACTCACATTATTAAGTGAAAACCCGGGCGGTCTTATACTCATACGTGGCCCTACATATGTGGTTGTGGGATTTCCTATAGTTTGCATATTATTTGGTATCACCGTACTAGATCCTACTTGGGTGTTTGCTAATGTACCTGAATTTTGTTCACTACTCACAGGTATTGACATGCTCACAGTTGTCGATACTATAGGTATGTTCCCATTATGACTTTGCCCCCCAGTATTTGGTGGGTGTGACCCATTTAATCCCTCACTGTTACCTTGGTTATTTGATGAACTCTGACTCATGACTCTCCCACTCCTTAATCTCATACAATTTCGAACTAACCAATTTTGTGTTTCTCAACACAAGACTCCCCTACCTGGCGCGCCAATTTGTTTCTGGTGGAATTTCGATCGATTTCGATTCTAAGGGTATTTTGGTCTTTAATCGAAATCCTCCCACGTAAGCTCTTTTTACTTAGGCTAGCAATTTGATTTTCAATCGAAAACGTGTATGAGAGTCGAAAATTACAGGATATTGAAAATGCTGTTTTTGGTATTTTGTATTTAAAGTATCGAAAGCAGTAAAAGTATCGAATCAAGAAACAATGTTAAATTGCAAGAAAATGTAAAGAGCGAAAATCCAAATTTGCATCAATTGTAAATGACGAGGAATCGAAAATACAGAAACATAAAACTGCTGAATTTAAGTTGCATCAAAATAAATTACCAAGGAAAATACAGAAAGCGGTAAATGTACTCAGTGAGCAAGGAAATCCAGATTGCCAGAAGCTTCATGGTGTTCGTCGTTTCTTCGGTAGACTTTTCACTACTGATTCTGTTCTCTGCCAATTTCTGCTCCCCTGTTCCTTCCTCCTTTGCTCTATTTATAGGGCATCCTTCAAGCCTTCCAAGAGCAGTTAACGCGACTGCTACCACGTTCTACGTGCGTATGACAGTTTATCTTCTATAGTTTCCCACGTTCTCACGATCTTCGACTTTTTCCCATGATTTCAAAACTGCTCTTTATACGTGCATTCGACTTACTTCCTTTCACGATTTGGCCAAAGTCTCGATGTCCACATTGGCTTTCTTTACTCTCGATTCTGTATTTTTCGAGAACTTCGAATTGCTTACGATTCCTTTTTAACCCTGGTCTTATATGACTTAGTTTTTATTCGACAACAGTCATTTGATTATTATTCATTCGATTCTCGATTGTGCTTCTCGATGCTATATGCTACGTATTTCTAATTAGACATCGAATGAATTTTTTGTTTATCTTATCGAGTCACATTTCTTTCCTTCGATTTCGATCGTTTTTCTCGATTTGCCACTAACAAATAGCTAACAAAATAATACGCATATCCGGAAGGAGTTTTTAATAAAAATCATTTAAAAATAAAATTAAATATTTTATTATGAGTTTCATAATTAAATTATCTAAAATTTTATCAGATTTATATATCTAATAAATTTTATTTTAATTTTAAATAATTTTTTATTTTTAAGTAACTTAATTTTTTTATTTTTAAATTATTTAAATATAAAATTTATAATAAAATATTTATTTTTATTTTTAAGTATTTTTACTAACAATTCCCTCTCCGGATGCTTTTAAGAAATTATTAATTTTTTTCTTTTTTTTTCCACCAAACACTATCTTCAATTTATATATATAAAATTTAGATTATTTGATTAATATTTTTCGATCTAAAAATATTTAAAAATGATTTATTAAAATTAATTATTAAGTTTGAAATATTATCTATTTTAATGATTAAACTTGAATTTGCAATGATTTTATATTTAAAAATACTTTTATTCTGTAATGAACATAAATATATTAAGCGGAAAAATTTTAGTTTTTTTTTTAAAACAAAATCAAATTAAAATTAAAAACAACAATATCTCAAATTATAGACTATAATAGCGTATTTGAGATAAAAATAAATAAATAAAGACCACCATCATTCAATTCATTGAACCCAGCCAAAATTACTCTGTTTATTATTCAGACTTGGTGGACTTCAGCCCACGGCCCAGTAGTAATTGTTCCGCTTCCGCATACTAATTAAATATTCATCATTTCACATTATTGCTTTCATACTATAAAATGTGTAACTCACACAACTCGTGCTTGAATTTTGACCTAAATTTGGTTTTCACAGCACCACTTGAAGTAAAAAATATATAAAAATGTTGGTATGAGGAAAAATTAATTTAGTTTTTTGTAAATAATTTTTGAATTCTAATCTTCTAGATAAAACTTAATTAAAAAGATAAATTTTGTCAAAAATAGTATTATATATATATATATATATATATATATATATATATATATGAGAGAGAGAGAGAGAGAGAGAGAGAGAGAGGGAAAAGTCAATTTGGTAGATATGCAAATCAAAATAACACTTATAAAGTCCCAACTTTATTGTAGTATGTTACGTTTAAAACCTATACATTGGGAATTTATAATATATTTGTTAGGTAAAATTATTTTTTTACCATTTTTTATATTATTGGTGTAAAATTTTTTATTATATTATTTTTGACAGTTTGTACGTATTACCGAATTGATTAAATTAGTGATAAAGTAATAAAAAGGGTAATTTATTTTGATAAAGAAATTTTAAGAGGCCAATCTAGTAATTAAAATGCATATAAGAGACTTAAAAATTTATTTTATCCATTTTTGTTATACAAAGTTTCCCTTCTATTTTACACTTTTTTATAAATTTTTTTCACTATTTTTTCTTTTTATAAAATTTTAGTTGGTACTGTCTGGAAGAAGTAAAACTAATATTGGGTCCAGTAATCTGGAATCTGGAGCTCTCACCTAATGGAGATACAGTCTTAATTGACACTTCGTGGTTTTTATTTTATTGTTACATTGTGTTTTTTAGTACCTATTGTTATTTTGATGAAGTCGGCTTCCACCTAAAGTCAAATATTTAATGAGTGGTTGTAAAATGCTTAAAATGTGAATCAAATTTAAGACTAGTTCATTTGAATAAAAAATATAAAAAATAAACTGCAAAAAATAATTGTTTTGTTTGATAATAAACAATGAAAAATAATGTTATTTTTCAATGAAGAACTTTCTTGTTTAAATAATACGATAAAGAAAAAGTGATATGTTTTAAAAACATTCCTCTTTTCTTTATCTCCAAAATAAATATATAGGTAATTGTGTGATTGTATAATTAATTTTATTTATTTATTATTTTTAAAAAAATGACCATCTTCCATTTTTCTTATTAACGTATGCCTCGTTTTATCCAGACTTTACCGTCATTTTTACGAGACTTGTTAAGTAGAGACTTTAACTGAGAAATAATGAATATTATTTCAATTAAATAAGATAAAGATGATATAACTTTTCATATATATATTTCATTTAGTAATTGTTTGGTTAGCAACTGCCTATTCATTACCTTAATCTTCCTTCCATTTGCCTTGAAATGTCAACGGACCTTCTTGGCTTTGTTTGTGAATTGTGATTAACAACATTCATTTCCGGTCATTGTCATCGTGTGCGGAGGTAGTGATGTTAGGACACTTAACACCACACTTATTTTAGGGTAGACATCAACATTCATGCACATCTTGTGGCGAAGGAGTAAAATCAGGATAAAATCCTTATCAAGAAGAATTTATGAGTGCGAGTGATAGATAGGTGTTTGGTCAATTGATTACAGGGACGTGTTTGGCTGGGCTTCTGTTTAGTCCTCGTGATTCTAATACTTTCGCATTTGACATAAATTGAGCTCCCCTGTTTGGTTTCATGCATTATAGTGGTAACCGGCCAAAGAAAACTGCTACTTAAGAAAAACAATATACACGCGTCCACTCATGCACTTTTACAATCGGTGGTGTTGTGCCCTCATAAATTTTGTCATTTATCTAATCAAGTATTTTAAAAAGTGAAATATGCGAACGCACGCACATGCATATTATCAAGGTTTTATTCAAAACACAAAGATACAATAACAATTCAATATATATTTCATCTAATTATACACTCACAGAAAGTAAAATTAGAATATTCTACTCTCAGTTTTTCCTGAGCAACAAGACGCTAATTACTTCCAATATGTACACTTAAGACAAAAAGACTTTAACGGCGTTAAAAACTTGTGAGGGTCGAGAGGAAATAGGATCAAACCCAACCCTGTTTGTAACGGTTAAAGAGGTCTTCTGTTTGTGCATTCCTGAAGGCACTACATGCTATGACATAGACCCATATGAGGACCACCAATGCCACTATGAGAATGATGTTTGCTTTCCTCCATTCTTTTCTGAGGTTACCCAATAGACCAGCCTTGCAAGCATTACAATTGTAGCATAGTTGATTTTGATCATTGTTCCACAAGTAGCAATCTGGATCAGCTGTAGGATTCGCAGGGTTTGTCCAAAGTATGGGGCTTACATAATTGTACCCACAACCTGTGGGAGGTTTGCAGCATCCTGACTGTAAAATCAATCAAGCCAATGCATTACTACAATTTTAACTATACAATAATACAAATGGTGACAGTACAATACAATAGAGTATCACAGTGATATTTATGTTAGATATTTAATATTAAGTTAAAAATAGAACTAAAATTACACATCTAAATTTGCGAAATGAAAATATATAGAAGTACAATTAAATTTAATAAAAGATGGAACTAGAAGTCTAGTGCAGGAAAAGAGATGAGGGTGACTAGCTACCAAACCATACCGCAGAGTAGGCAAAATAATATAACTCATTATCTTCTTGTGCTATAACGACAGAATAATGATCTTGACTTTTCTTAGCTGATTAATTTAACATGGCCGAATTTTGGATTATTTCTATACATGTGACTGAGTGAGTGGCAATTTCAGCTGCATTGACCTTTAAGGGGCTCAATTATACCGGGAAGGCCCCACGCAGCACTAATATATTGTCATTCACGCTGGTAATAAGGGATGTCTGTAATGTCTTCTAATGAGCATTCTCAAATCATGTTTATTAGGTCTTTTGAAGGGATTAACTTCGTATAAGAATTCACATCATTTTCAATCAAAAACTTTAAGAAATTTTCAATAAGGTTAGATTTATGTGGACCTCAGTGTTCTGCTGGTGTTAACTTCAAATTTTAAACTAAAATATAATCCACGCCCTATACCTGGGTCTAGTTACGACTAATGGAAAACTCATGATACAAGAAGTTTATCACTAGACAAAACCTTAATAATTAATTTGACAATTTAAAACTTAGATCCCCAACAAACGAAATTTATTCACTTAAAGCATGTTAAGATCATATATAGCTCCAGCAGAGTTTAAACATAATCCATGTTGATCAAGAATCTCCACTGGTCCCATCTAAAAAGCATTGGATACTATCATTTCCCAACCACCGTCATAATCGAGTAACTTCACAACTAATCCTTGGGACATAGTCTACTGGTAGGGAAAAATACACTGTTAATTCCAATTCTAATCAGAACCGTATACATGGAAGATTCAAGCAATTTCAATGAAAGCTTATAGATCCAATCCACCCCCTAAAAAGAAGAAAACTAGTTCTCAAATTCAGCCATTTGAAAGCGTTGTTGAAGACATAACATGGTGTCATGTGATGTGGTCTAGCAACGACAATTGAGGAATAAAAAAATACTTTGAGAACCAATCTTTCTACGCAAGATAGATCTTGCTTCTCTCCAAGAAATCACTTGATAAAATTAATGACTTTTATAGGGAGTGAGTACAAACGAAAATGTAAATTCTCACTTTCGGTCAAAATCAATAAGTTGAACATGCAAAAAGAATAAAGTCTTCAACCTTTCAATTAAATGTAATATCGTGATTCCAAGTTCTTTAATCCCTCGTATTCACAGCACATACTAACTCAATTCTTAGTAAATCCTAGTTGATACTATTTCAGAATAACTAAAAAAATGGAAGTAAAATCTGATTAGGCGAAAATTATCCAGTTATTGATTTAGAAGGAACCTGCAAGGGGGAGATGTGGGAAGCAAAGAATTGATCGGCGGTGATGTAATTCTGGGTGAGTTTGGTGCAGATATCGGAAGCAGCCAAACAGGGCCTTATCTTGTTCCAGCTGCCGGAGCCGGTGATGCGATTCCTCAACCAGGAAGAGAAGCCGTCGAGCCTGTACTCCTTGTAGGCTCTTCCGGGGACATCGTAGGTACCGTCGGGTCTGGTGACGACGAAGGCGAAAACGAGAAGGATGAGGAGGATGGCGATGAGGAGGGCCATGGAGAAGAGGTAGAGGGCCAAGAGACCCTGTTTGTTCCAGTAGGCACCCACAAAGCCCGCGAGCGAGACGAGGAAGACGAGGAGGCCCATTATGAGAATGGGCCAGCGAAAGTTGGCGACGCACTCGTTGTCGGGCTTAGAGGCGAGCCAAATGCCGGAGGCTATGATGGGAATTGAGGAAACCATGGCCACGAAGTTCAGCACTGCAGTGATGTTGTTGCTCACACCCATCCCAAATAACCTCACTTTTTCTCCTTTACTCCTTTGCAGAAAGGAACTGACTTTGAGGAAGAGAGAGTTTCAGCTTTTATTCACCCTATCCTTTTCACTACATGTTCAATTTATGGCTTATTTGTAACTTTTTTTTTTTTAATATTAGATACATTATTTTTAAAAGTAAATCACTATTACCAATTTTTGTTATTCTCCTTAAATATTTCACACATATAATTATGATTAATTATATTTTTTTATGTATTTATATTTAATTATAGTTATTTCATGCTTTAATATTAAAATATAATCTTTTTTTCTCTATTCATAATCATTGATTATACTCCCAAAAGATTTTAATGCTTCACTTTATATTCAGGTATATACCTAGTAGATATATTTAATATAGCTATATATTCTTCGTATCATAAGATAAATTCATATGAATGGTTAAATACAATTCTCTTTTATATGTTTATAAAGATCTCCTACTATCAATAAAGTTAAAATATTTTCTTCATAATCTAAAATTCAATCCATTACCTTAAATCCTACCTCCTAAACGCTAAAACCTAAATACTATGTTAACTTTGATTAATTAATTACTAATATAATATATATATATATATATATATATATATATATATATATATAAATTTTTTTCCTATACATATAACACATTATTTTATCTTTAATACATGTATATTATCCTTAATAATGTATATACCATTTCTCACATTTCAGCAAAGAACAATTTTGTGGTATTTAATCTATTTATGTTATTTTTGTCATAACTTTTTTTATAAATATATTTTTTGACTATTTTTAGGATTTTAATTTGCATATATAGAACGTTAAATTTGGAGTTTTTGTTAGGTATTTCTGAGGGGCTAATAGTGACCTTACTTGTATTGTCTTTTATCTATTATACTCAATTGACCTGGTCATACTTTTGTTAGGAAGACTTTCGACACAAGGACTTTTCACATACTATACTCAATCGAGCTAGTCACACCCTTATTAGTAGGGATGGCAAAAGCAGGCTAGGCCCGGCGTGCTGGCCTGGGCGGGTTGGTGTTTTCACCCACCAACCCCGCTTTGGCCCGCCTCGCCAAGCTCACTAACCCGTCGTGCCAACCCGTGAGGACGGGGCGGGCCAGCCCGCGACCCGCCTAATTAATAAAAAAATAAATTTTTATTGTAATAAAATTAATTATAAAGATAATATATAAAGTTAAATTTTTTAAAAAGAAAATTAAAAAAGTTTCATTCTCACAGTAAAATATTCTCCTTCCCTGAAATATAACCTTCTCTCCTGTTCTCCTTATTTATCTTAAGTATCGATTATATTTATCCTTGTTACTTGAATTAAAGGTATAAGAATTACTCAACCAAGTATAATATGAAGTTTTATCAAATAAAAAAGATATAGGTATTTGAATTTTTCAATATAAAAAATATAAATTTTATAAGTTTAACGTTATTTATATATATATATATATATATATATATATTTGTTATTATTTATTATTATGTAAATTTTATTATTGTTCTAAATTATAATTTCTTAAAATAATATATTGATTTATATTATTAAATTGAAATAATATATATATATATATATATATATATTGAATTATTGACAAACAAATAATAATCTTATTATTAAATTTATTAAAAAAAATTATTTTTTTTAAATTATGGCGGCCAGCCTGCCAACCTTGCTCTGCGTGGCGGGCCAAGGTCTACAGCCCGTCATGACTATATCGGGTCAGCCCGCCCCGCCCCGCTTTTGGCGGGCCAAAGGCGGGGCGGGCCAAAACGGGGCGGGCTGACCCGTTTTGCCATCCCTACTTATTAGAAAGACTTTCGACACAAGGACCTTGCACCTACTATACTCAACTGATTTTTGGGTATTTTTGAGAGGGCTAACAGTAGAAAGATTCTCACAAATGAGTCACGAGTCAATCATACCACTTTTAACTCAAAAAACCTTAAGACATTAGGTCATAGGTCTTTTTCACTTATAAGTTACTCAATTTTATCATTTATACTCAATGTGAGACTTCAAACTCATACTTGAATTATCAACAGTTTTAAACTATTTTTTATGATTTTTAGAAGTTTGAACAAAAAAAATCTAAAAAATTTAACTTAAGCGAAAATAGACCCGAGAATAGCATTCTTTTCTAGAGCGAACATTTTTCAGCTTGAACAAAAATAAGCTCGAGACAAGCCTTAACATTTGAGAGTTTTTCGCTTGAGCGAAGTATTTTTACTTAAGCTAAAATACACTCAAGAGGGGTCATTTTTTCTTTTGCACATTTTACTTGAGCAAAAAATCATCGTTTAAATGAAATATGCAGATAATAAACCTGCAGAACTTATGTTAAATCACACTTCAAACATCAAACACTATCTTATGAGACACTATTACTCAATTTCCTTTTAAAATATACCATACCATACCATACCTAGTCTAATTATAATTATCATACCTAACATTTTATATACATCATTACTCTAAGTCAACTCATTCAATCACACTTTAAGATACAACATAATAAATCAATTTCCTATAAATCAAATAATGTGACTAAGTAACCTTAACAACCCAAATCATCTATCATAGGGTGTTACAAAATTTACTACTAACTTCCCTTGTCTTCCAATTCAATGTTCTCAAACTAGAAAGTTCTAAATCCCCATTTTCTTAGAGATTCATATATTGTTTCCAAAAAATCCCAATTAACAAATTAACAAATTGAACCTACCACAATGTTTTAAATTAGTCAAAATTCATTTTTACTTCACTAAGGTCAGATGTAGGACTCAAAGACCTACATGCAAAATCTTAGCCCTAAATTTGTACAAATAATCTAAATTTGGGGAAAGAAAAACTTATTCTATTTAAGATTCTGATAGAATGAAAATATTTCTCTCGCCTCTAAAAACATTATGATATACTTGGATCTAGAAAAAGATAAGAAAATAAGAAAATTAAAAAAAAGTCAAAGAATTAAAAAATTAGAGAGACTATAGTTATTTTAAAACGAAGTTTGAAAAATAAAGATTTTTTATTTAAATTACTTTTATTTTAAAAATAAAAACTTCAATCTTTACACTATTTATTTTTTTTTAAATCATTAAAGTCTCTATTCTTACTATATTAATATAAAATAAATATTTATATCAACAAAATATATTGAAAATAATAAAATTAAATTAATAATGAGATGAAATAAAAAAAATAGTAAACAAATAATCTTTTTTTTTCTTGTTAGCACGTTGACAAGAGATTTATTTGGGTGGTAGTGCAAATTTTAAGTTTCTGAAAAAAAAAAAGCTCTCTTTGTAGTACAATAAATAACACTATAGTTTAAAATTCTTTTACATGATCTTTGAAACTCAAGTTTGTCTTTTAAATAGCGTTCTTAAACACAATATAATAGGACAAAACAATTATAGTGTGAAAAGTACATGTTGCCCTTTGAAAATTGAAATGCTAAAATTTATAACAATTAATTTCTCACATATTTCAAAAAGATTTAAGAAAAAAAAATCTCAATTTTAAATGTAATAAAACGTAGGACAACATACTTTAATTGGTGTTACAAGTCATATAAACAATAAATACTTTATGTGTCAATGGTTAACCTGTCTCCTTGTTACATCCCAATGCTTTTTCATTATGGTTGTTTAGTGTCAATAAGTCACGTGGCACCTAATATTCATGAGTGTTAAGAATGTGTTAGAAAATGGTATTCTTAGCATTTTTCAAACTTTTGTACTTTCATATATCAATTGTTTGTATTCTTAATATTAATTTTTATAAATATGAAATTATATTATAATTTTAGTCTCCCTTAGTTATTATTCGTATACTATTTTTACTTTTTTTTCTCAATTTTTGTTTTAATATTTAAAAATCCACAATTTTAATCTATATATAATTTTACATGTGTTTTAACATTTTTTTCCAATTGAACCTGATTTGACATATTCTTTCAACATATTGTCAATAAATGGTTTAATTAATTAAAAATGTAAAAAGTTAAAAAAATACAAATTTAAAATTGGACCAAATTCAGATATTTTTTAAAATATTGTCAGATTAAAATCATATAAAAAATGAAAAGACAAAACTAACAAATAAATAATAATAAAAAAAATAGATTACAACTTGTCCTTAACAATGTCTATTTATGCTTTTAATATTCTCAATTTTCAATTTTCCTATTTGATTTTTTTTTCAATAAAAATATAACAAAATATTATTTAAAAGATACATTTTATCATTGATTAAAAAATATTAAAAATCACAAAATACATATGCGTAATTTTTAATTAGTTTAAAGAGTTTTATTTATCATTTTATAGTGTGAAATAGTTTTAGTTAACCAATATTAACCATCGTAGCAGCATGCAGGCATATTTTGCTTGCTTTGACTAATAATACACAAGCACCTGTTCATACAAAGTAAGAAAAAAAAAATTGAACAAAAAGTTGAATGAAGAAAAGACAACGTTAAAAGCTTTTTCTTTATTTGAACCAAAGATCACGTATATCTTAGGTACTTATACTGGCCAAGCCATACAAAAAAGAAAAAAGAAAATAAAAGAGATATTTAATTCCAAATGTAAATATATTAGTTCTAATTTATCTATCCCAAAGGGTTAATAGTGAGAGGGTCTTCTTAGTTTCATTTTTCAGCCCAGAATATTATTATTATTATGCCCATTGGTCATGTTCTTCATGGATTCAAATCGATAACCCTTTTCACCGAACTTGGTGTTGCCATAGAGCTTCAAATAGTCCCCATAAAGGAAGTTGCTCGGATACAAGAGCTTAGGAGCTGGTGAAATAATGGCTTCTCCAATGGGGTTATAAAAGGTGGCAATGGAGATTCTGCTTCCGTTCTTCTCAGGCATGACCCTATGCATTACACTTTTATATAAGCCATTGCTCAACACTTCCACTTGATCACCTGTGTTCACAAAAATCGCATTGTTCTTGGAGGGTGGAATCTCCACCCATTTGCCATCTTTGAAGAATTCAAGACCTGGCACTTTGTCATCTTGGAGCAGTAGAATGATGCCACCGGCATCTGTATGCTCTCTGAGTCCCCTCACAAGTTCAGGACGTGGACACTGAGGGTATTTGGCCACTTTTGTTCCCACAGCAGGACCGTCACCATCACTTCCAGAAAATGCTTTCTTGATGTAATCCTTCCAATCCTAGATTTTCACTCATGAGCTCAGATAGCTTTGTTGGCAAACTTTGGGTCATGTATATATATGATACATATTTAAATGTGTTAGGGTCATTATTTATTAAGCCAAATAATAAAGTGATTTGAATAAATTAAAGTTTTGGCTAAAGGCATGTGATGAAAATATGATTGTGTAGAGACCATAGAGTAATTTCTAATTTGATGAGGGGTCAAATTGAAAATACTAAAACTTAAGTAATTAACCTAATTTTGGTTATATAAAGGGTCATGGTCCCCTTCTGAGAGCACACAGACATAACGTAGTTACAGTCCCGTTCCTTTCTCTCTATCCCCATCAAGAGAGAAAATCCATAGGGAAATACAGGTGCTCTTCAGGTGAAAGACCATAAGATCAAATCAAAAGTGCTCTACAAAGGATATCGTCATTATGGCCAATTCAGGTACGCTTTCGCATTTAGTTTATAACATGTATACAGTATGGGATTATAGATATATGTTTGATCATTAGGATGAAGATCATATTCAATTACAGTTTAACCTAACTCTCTCCCAGCTTGAGGAGTTGTGCTATGTACTCATCCATTGTGTAGCTGCATTCAGTTGCATACACTTAAATATCAGTTTCTTATTTGATCCGAAGCACTTTCTATTATGGCTGAAATTCGAGTAGGCTTCATTTTTAGATAAGGAAGAGTATTAGAATATGTAAAGATTGATTTGAGACTAGGATGGTTTTAAACTATATAATCATTTATTGTTGGAAATAATGTAACCAAAAGTTTCTCTAATAATTTTGCTATACTATAGAAGCCAGAGATGTGGATTGAGTTACCAAAGATCCTGAGAGATGTTTGGAATTTCACTGATGCCAGAGGTGGGGCGATGCCAAATGAAGAAGGCACTTTCCCAATCTATATCAGAGGCATTCTCCTGCTCCAACCTCTTTGCTATCTCAGACTGGTAGAAGCTTTCCTTCAGGTTTTCCTCATAGTATGTATTGATCAACTGCTTCACCTTCTCCATCAATTGCGTGTCAATCTCATGGTTCTCAACCTGCATATCCAATGTGTTAAATTGAAAAATTGGAGGAAGAAAAACAAAAGAACTAACATCATTTTTTATTTTCTATACCATAAAGAAGCCCCATTGTTCACAAGCTTTGTGCAGTAGGGCCATTGTGTCACCCCTCTTGTCCCCATTGAGCTCGCTAAAATCTATCACAGGGATCTCCATCTTTGAACTAGATACTCAATGTTTCTTTGTTGAAGGTATGTTACAGAGATGGGGTATTTATAGGGCAAGGGAAGATGTAAATCTATTTCAACTATTTTAATAGAAAGTCTATTACATTGCCATCATGTAATCTATATACATTTTTTTATTCTTCTGTTCCAATGGTCAACTGAGTTTCCCTTGTACACAAAGTTTTGGTTCTTTTCTTCTCAAAGAAAACTTTACCTTACGTTAAGTCCAATTTTAGTCGTCGCTATTATGGAATTACACAAAAAAAATATCTTACATAACTTTTACTTACAAATAGAAGCTATTACATGATGTACACTGAAGTGAAATATGCATCCATGATGTACACTGAAGTTAGAAAACTGTAAATGTTAAACCAAAACACTAAATGATGAAAGGGAATGTTTGGTTGGATGCAGTTGCAGCATGATATTACTGATTACGATCAATCACACACTCTCGAGAGTTTAGTTTATTGAGATTTTTCAATATTCAAGGTGATTTAACTATGCATCATGCATGACATAATAACTGTAGGATCAAATTATTAGTTCCAAGACATTTTGGTTTTTTTCTAACTTAAAGACAAACATGTTGATTCAAAAGAGTTTTATCTCCAACTTCTGGAGGGCGCACACAGAAAATGAAGTTAATTATACCAGAATTAAGAACCAGGTATCAAATTTTCTTACTCAATCTGTAACAGGAACTGGGAATATAATCTGACTAGAGATAGGAACAGACTTATTATATCAAGAATTTTACCTACTGACTACAGACAGGGAGGACAGACACCGACGTATATTAAGAATTTTATCCAACATACTCGAACCTTATCTTATAGTTTTGATTTATTATTTAGATTTAAATACCTCCTTATCTCTAATAAATAATTTTTTTCTCATATATATATATATATATATATTTTTTTTTTTTTCTATTTTAGTGGTCCTTGATAAAAGTAAATTTCGTATTTCATCCGTATCTTAGAGGTTTTTGTTACTTTTAATCCTGACGTGAATGCAGTGGTTAACTTTTGATGTTATTGTTTATGAAATCAAAATAGTCAAATATTATATATTGAAATGTTTTCTCCAAAAGATTTATTTGATGTGACTTATTGTTTCTTGTAAATAATTTATTGTTTAATATTATTATGGAATGAAATGATATATACTATGATATCTACTTTATTAAAATAAAAATAAAATTTTTTAATGACATCCATTCATTAAAGATTTTAAAAAATTAAAATATTTGCATTTAATTAACAATATTCACAGATTTACTAACCATGGATATACATGATTAGATCATTTTATCTAAAAAATTTAATTTATTATGATTATGTTTTCATTATATAAAAAATAATGGCCGGAGATAATTATAATGTTGAAAAACATTATTTTAGGAATTATTAAATTTTTAGATTGTCTTACGTTAATTCTTTGAATTAAAAATGAAAAATTCAAACTCAACCTTCGTACTAACACTAACATATCATAATTTAATGACAATATTCAAATACGAATTGTTTTTATTAGAGACTAATAAAGTAAAAGAATTTATAAGAGATCAAGCATAAAATTAGTGAATATATTAAAGACCACAAATTATTTAAATAATAAAAAAAAGGATAGACATGTAGATGAATGATACGAAGAATTAGAGATCACAAACATTTTATAACAATGCTAGAACCTAACAGTAAAAACTAAATAATTTTTTTATCTAGAATAAATAAAGTAGAAAAAAATAAGGAAAAATCAAACTTAAAATTAATGAATTTATTAAAAAAAATATATTTAAGTATATTATTTTCATTATTTTTTATATTAGCACTAAACATATTATTTGGTTTGAATAAAATCATGTAACTTATTAAAAATGACTCAGAATAATTTGAAACAAGTTATATGATTAGTTAAATTATACGAATTCAAAATATTAGTCAACTCACTTTAATTCCTAAATTTTTAATATTTATATATTTATTTTTTCGTTTACTAATATCTTTCCGATCAAGATTTTCTTTACTCTTTTATTAATTTTTTTATTAATTTAATAAAAACAAAGTTACATATTTAAAAAACAATTACATCATAAACTCTATATAATATGAAATATACAAATAAATAATAGAAAAAAATTGTAATATTACGTTATAATATTACTATATGTGTAATGAAATATTTTTTATTATAATCTTCTGGAAACTAAACTTTCAAAATTAAAAAATAAATACAAAGTTTAGTGTAAAATAATTGTTTCAAAACAGCATTAGGAAATTTTATTGAGACATTTTCATTCAAGGTAACTTATATGCATCATACATGACATAATAAGTGTAGGGTCAAATTATTAGTTCCAAGACTTCTTGGTTTTTTATAACTTAAAGACAAACATGAACATTTAAAAGAGTTTTATGTGCAATTTACAAAGGGCGCACATAGAAAATGAAGCTAATTATACAATAATTAATTAAAAACCATATTTCAAAATTTCATACTCAATAATAATATAATCTAACTATACAGCAGTACTTATATATGTGATTGTATGTGATAGAGAACGTTTTTTTTTTTTTTTTTTAATAACTTAATATTTCGAACTTCAAATTTTTCCAACAAATTTTTACTTATTTTAAATAATAAACTAATCTCACTCATAATGTTATAATTATTATATAATAATTTTTTTACAGTAAAATCAAACACTTTCTTTCATTAAAAAAACATAAATTTATTTTATAAATATATTTTTTTAAATGATAAATTTTTTTAATATAGTTCACTGCAGTAATTTTTTAAATCGTAATTGTGGAGATTTATAATTTTTAAAAAATATATTATTTGTAAAGTACAGGAATTTTTTTTGAATTATGAATTAAATCTCTTACTAAATCATGCAATTAAATTTATAATTTATATGCAACCATCATAATTTGAAGTGAATAGCAAGTTTGAATAAGCAGAACTAGTCCATAATTTGTACAATGACCAAATACACTTGATTACATATGTGAAAAATCCCATGCAATAAGAAAAACAAACAATAACTATTAAATATGAAAAATTGTCACTATTAATGAATGTAATTAGGTTAGAGATGAGGAAACAATTTTAGAAGGAAAATCAAAGCAAAAAATTAGGAGAGGACAATTGGGTGAGAACCCAGCAAAATATTGGGGTTTAAAATAAATGCATACACATGACAAATATATATAAGCTGCTATTAAATGAACAAAGTTATGTTTTCCAACATTAAAATTATGATGATTTTGAGTGAATTTTCACTTTTTTTAGCCACTGATTTTCCATATCCAAAATGTTTATAAGATGATGTAAGACACAGAAGATTAATGCATATTAAAAAAATATTTAAATAATATGTAAGAGGTAATTTAAATACTTTAAACTTATGGGAAGATAAAAGTAGCATCATAAATTAGAATAATATAATTTTTATAAATAAAAATACTGAAATCAAGTATTCAAAACATTAAAAAAATTCAAAAACGTATAAGAAATAAAATTAAATAGTGTAAATTTTAAAAAGAGTAGACAAACATAATAATATTTGAAAAATTAAGAGAAGATTAGAATATACAAACGAGAGCATAATTTGAAAATATTATAAAAAATAACTATAGATTAAAATATTATTAAATTTAAAAAGTAAAATATCCCTTTATATTTTTTTATTCATAAATAACAACTTAACTCTCTGAACTATAGAACACAGATGAAATAAAAAATAAAAATTTTAGTGATATAAATGAAACTTCACCTACTTAACATTTTTAGTACATTCGCCAACCATACTGTACATATAACAATTATAATCTATACATATAATTTACAATAATTAAAAAAAACATTATTAAGTTAAAAGCACTTATAATAGCTAACTTGTCTATACAAATATTTTTTTTCATTTAACCACAATAAATTTAAAAAAGAGAGATAATTACAGGGGAACTATTAAAGATAATAGGAAAATTCGATGTTACACTCACAATGATAAGATAATGATTTATAAATTTTTAAATTAATTATTAATATAACCAATTTGTTCCTTTAATTTTTATCGATTGCAAATTTGTTGTGTTAAGAATTTCAAAGTTATGAATATAACTTGAATACATTCCAAAAGATTTTGCTTAAAAAAGATATTGAATGAGATAACATGAAAAGTGATTTCGATTGCAAAGAAAATAAAAAAAATCTGAACATAATGTAAAAGAATTTCAATTAGACAGTGCATAAATTTGAAAGTAAAACAATATAAATAAATGTAAAAGTTGGGTGCACAAGAACCTTTAAAATTTAAAGAACTGGAAATATAAATAAATGCATAAAATATAAGGTATATGAAGATATAAATGATTGAATAAAATAAATATAAATATCGGAAAAGGTAAAAAAAGAAAACAAAATTAAAGGAAACTGAACAGAAGTAAATTGTAATTTGTAAGTAACTAAAGTGGCTCAAATTATAAGAATTTAGGATAAATATAAATATGTTGTATTCAAAAGTGGTTGAAAATATAAGTTTGATTTGTTTCAATCAATAGTTACGAGTAGAGATGAAAAATTAATTCAGTAACTGGTCCGTAATGAGAAAAAACTAGTACTGTGGTTTTCACTGTTTCCATCGAGTATTTAATTTTATATTTAAATTTTAAAATATTAATATTTTAAAAATATTTTATTTTTCTTTTTTTATTATAAATAAAATATTTTTTATATATTTCTTTTATTTATTTTTTAATTTTTTTAATTTTGTATATCAATTAATTCATTATATTATATTATTTTTTATTTTTCTCTTATTTTTTGTTTACTTTTTTAATATTTTTAATCAATTTATTTTTTTAACAGTTTGATGAACATAAAACTAAATTTTTTCTTTATATATTTTTAAATATTTTACATAAATATTAATAAAAATTAATATTATTTTATTTATAATTTATCTTTATTATATTT